CTAACACCAAAGTAATAACAATAATCAAGTCATGTGCTATTTACATTTCCCTTTGTAATGTTGGTGTCATTATTTCATGACTAAAACAAAGTCAGTCAGCAGTGAGGAGGCAGGACATAAATTTGCAATCCTTTTGTTTTCTGTTCTACAGGTCTCAGTATCATCCTGATAATTTTAGAAACTTTTTTGTGGATAACAAGGTTAAAATAGATGCTGTATTGTTCTTAATTTCTCAGAGTCATGCAGCTGAGAATCTTTTACACCCTCTGATTTGAGGGACTGTACAGCGCAACACTCCCAAGTGATTATTTCAGCCTCACAGTTGTGGATCGGTTATTGACTGAATCCTAGGAAGATTTTAAGAAAACAGCCTTGAGCCTGGAAAATAATTCTGCAACGTTAGAAACCTACTTTATTATCCAAAAATTTTACGAGGTCAGGATTAGAAACTTCTGCATGGCTGCTCTCTGTGACTCTTTGCTTCTTAAATGTCATTAACAGTAGCCCTGCAGCGCTCTAGTGGCTCCGGATGTCTGAATCTCCCAAGGCACAAACATTTGTGTCCTTTCCAACATCTGGATCAAATCACAGCTGGAAACGTTATGTTCTCAGTTTGTCTTCAGGGAAAAAAGATGAAAAATTAAGAATTCAGCTGACAGCTTCCTGAAGGAAATGCCGCTGTGGGTCACATGACCCTGTGGTTTGACCTTCAGGAGGCGATATCAGAGGAAAACTGATCTTCAGGATGTTTTTCTGTCATTGTGATATCACAGAGAGATTCAGTAGCCTCCTGAAACCCAACACTCTGCTATTATTATGCAGGAAGAAGAATACTCCCACTCAAGAAGGACATTTTTGTTGGAAGGACAATTCTCCATAACCCTTAGCACTAAAACTAAAGAGCATCTCTTTAAAACAAGCAGGTGGACACGTTAGATCCACAGGTCCATATCAGACCTTTAGAGTGATTTTGACTGTTAAAACAGTGTTAACAATTGTAGAGTTCAGGGTGAAACCAGCCCCACCAGATCCAGTCTTTTTGCAGCCTTGCCTAGTGGACTCTGTAAAGTCTTTCCAATTCCTGGTAATCATCATCTCCAGAGACCTAAAGCAGCACCTAAACATGAGCTCCTTCATGAAGAAGCAACTGCAGAGCATGTACTTTCTGCAGCAGCTGAAGAAATTCAACCCGCTGAAGTCAATGATGCTGCACTTCTACACTTCTACTCGTTCATCACAGAATCTCTACCCACCTCCTTCATCACCATCTCGGATATTTAGATTACTTAGCCTATACATCTCTGTGCACCACCACAGACTGAGTCTAACATTCCTCAACTTGACTTCAGGATTTTAATGTTCCCTACAAACATGAAAATGGGTTCAATATGTGCCCACTGGTTTGCTTCTGCTTTGGACTTGGCCTGCTACCAGTACTTGTGTCCTGCTTTTCGTGTTTCATAAAGGATCAGAACAATGGTCTTCTCAGGGTAAGTCCACCTCAGTAGAAACATGGAACTGTTTAAACTGTGTTGATTGGCACGTTGAATCGATTTCTTCTCTCTTCATATTGATCAGAAAACCTTACATTTCACCCAGCTACTTCATAGCTAATATCAGCATTTAGAGATGGAAAAAGACTTCAAGCTTCTTTACAGTTGGTCAGTTTGCAGGAGGATCTGGTTCAAAAATCAAATGCACTCTAATTCTTCCTCAGCCTCTGGTCAATTTTTAAAAGAACCAAATAAAAAGTCAGGAGTAGTAAATGAGGGGTTGTAGGAGTTGTGTTTGTACACATGAAAAAGACATTTGATGCAGTCAGTCTGACTGCAAAGAAAATACTGTTCAGGACTTAAAGGAGAACCATTATTTCTTGAGAGTTCAAGTGGTGTCCCGCAAGGTTCAATATAAGGCCTTTTTTTTTTTTTTTTTAAAGCTCTTTTGTTTTTAATTATTGATGGTGTTTTCATGTTGTTTGATACTGCTTGTTGCTTCACCGGACATTTTCTCATGTCGCCATCAGACAGCTTCATCAGGAGCCACACAGAAGAAGCAGCAGCTCAATTTCAGGTGAGAATGAAGACAAACGAGAGTTCCTGTCCTTTTTCCTCCAGCTGATCTGACTTGCCGGCACAACATAAAAATAACCTGATTAGTCGAGTTGGTGTGAAAATAAATGTCAGTGTTTGATGGCTGGCAGCTGTGGACTCTCCCCTTCCCGCCTCGTCCTTCTCCTTCTCTACTTGTTTGAATCATGATTTAGGAGAGATGAATATAATGGAGTCTACAGTGACCGTCATCTATTTCTGCTCTTTCACTCTCTGTGTGATTCAGCTAAGAGTTTGATGCCTTGCTCTGCAGCTCCTCAGCGGACCGCCTCTTTCTATCAGCATTTCCAATCCAAATGTCTTCCAGCTATCAGCCTTCATCAGGTTAGAAGATTGGATGCTGGAGGTGCTGACAGCTGTGCTCCCCAGATGGAACTGCTTGGGGAGCTCGGCCATGTTGTTTTCTCCTTCATTGAATTCTCAGAAACGGGATGGATACTTCAGGGAAATGAGGCTCAGTTGGGCATTTAAGTTACTTCTCTGCAGTCCTGCAGTTGTGGATTCCTCAGACCTGACACAAACATCCTCTGCCAAGGCCAACATCCTTGGTTATATTTTTAAAGAAAATGGTGGGTATTTGGACTTCCTGCTTTTGTGATCCACCTCATCTGAGTAAAATTAGACTGACAGTCACTAAAAACCAAGTTCAATGCATTACAGTGTTTAAAGACTGAGTCAGTCTGGAGTTGGTTCTTTTAAGCTTTATTTTTTTTGGGGGGGGGCAACTGCATGTTTATCTCAAGTTTCACAAGTTTATCTCAGTTTATATCTTTTGAAATGCTTATTAAAAGACAAGCAGTTTTTTTAACACGATTTTACAGTTTGTGTTGTTATTTTACTTTTATTGTGAAAGATTCCAATGTCATAGTTTTTACACAGTCAGTTGTATTTCTAAATAAGCAGCTTTTACATAGTGACTCATGTCTGCCAATCTTTAAAAATGAACAAGAGTTCAGTTTTGCTTTTGGATACAGAGGTCAGGCACACACTGATGTCAGGTCTGCTCCTGCCCATGTTATGTGACCAGCATAGGTTACCATGGTGATTTATCCAGGTAAAAAGAGAGCCAGTTTGGTGACACAGAAACTTAACTTTAAGCCTGACATGGCTCGCTAATCCACGAACCTGGCTTCATAGTACACTCCTCTGGACCCTCTGTCAATTTTCAGGTGAGTTAAACATAGGCTCACCTACCAACGCATCACACAAAGTGGACGAGTTCTGATTTCAGAAATCTGAACTGAACCATTTTAAAAACATGGAAAATAAGATTTTAGGATAAAACTGAAGAAGGAGATTTCCCCTTCATCATCAGCTTGTCTTCTTCAGAGACCAGGTGAGTTCTGAGGGACCTGACATGCTTTCCTTTTCATCCTGGGTGATGGCAGAGGACAGAAGAATGTCATCAATCACATGTTTCTCCAGTTTATTGCAATACCAAAACTAGCACATACACCCTTAGTATTATTATGTATTTATTTTTATAAAGCCACATAAGACATTTGAAAATTCAAAATGGCTGTTTACTCTAAAGAAAGATGTCCTGAAAACCAACCAGAAGATTCCTTTTTAAATGACTGAAGTGTCAACTTTTATACCTGACAGTAGAGAAGTTGATTGAAAAGGGTTTTCATATGATTTTTTTTTAACTGCAAGTCTGCATGTCAAAGAGCACAAGAACCTCAAAGGGAACCTCAAACTGCCGCTGATGCACCTGTCAGAGTGTGAGAGTTAAATTTTTTTTTAATGTACAGCAAGTTTAACTGTTGTTCTATGAAAACTAACACATTTTACAAGGGAAGTGTTTTAGAGACAGCACGCTGCTGAACTCCAGAGCGAGAGAGGAGAGATCTGTTTACAGTCTTAACTTTTATTTCTCAGGACAAAAAAGGAGGGATTTACAGCTAAATAAAAACTGACACGTAACACCAAAAAACAAACTTTAGCTTTAATTTAAGCTGAAAGAAGTTGGGAAGCCAAACCTGCCGAACATCAGAATACTAATGTCAAACTGGTTACTTGCAAACATCAAAGTCATTTAAATCATGCAGCAGATTGTGAAATGCTGCTGTCTTCGCTAGTTGGACCATAAAATCTTCATCAGTAAAACTAAGTATTGTTTTTATTTTCATGTATGACACTGGGACTGGGACTCAGTCTGACACTCTCAGTGAGCTTTGGCCCTGCCATACTTGCAGGAAAACACTGCTGCATCTTTATATCTGCGAACACTTTATAGTTTATTTTACTCTATTTTTAATTCTGTGCTTTAATATTTTTTTCCTTTTGTCAATTTTGTGTTCTGGTTGATATTTTTAGACCCTGTAACACGGCACATACACCGAGCATAAAGTTTTATTTGGTATTCATTACTGCACTGTCATGACATCCTTACATGTTTGACCTGGTAGTTGAACTGTGCGGTGAATCTAAAAAATTAAAGTCATTCAAACCTACTTTGTACCTACATTATAATCAGTCCAGTCCGTTTTGGTTACTTAAATGATCCTGTTAGAGCTGTGATATCACATGTGTTTCCTGTTGGTCAGCTCTCTCTTGATAAAGACAGTTTTACTTTTCTTACATTTTGTTTTTGTTGCTTTTTCCTTTTTATCCTTCATAAAAGAAGGATATTCAACAGTCACTCTGCCAAAAACAGATCGCAGTTTCTACCCTGACATGTCCTCTCTCAAAATGAGCTGATATCACTCATGAGAGAAATGTTTGACATGTGTTTAATAGATTATAGACCAACGAGTCATTTACAATGTTTAAATAAGGGCAAAAATGAATTTTTGGCACAACGCCTGCTCTGAGGCAGCTGTTCTCAGGTGTTCTGCCTCCTGTCATGTGAAACACAGTTTCCTCACTCTCCCTGTCTGTGTCGTCACTCCTCTCTCTCCCCTCTGTATTTAAAGTGTGTTTCGCTGTGCTCGGAGCTCTGAGGAGTATTTCTGCTCTTCCTCAGCGGGTCCTCGGACTCCTCCCTGCCCGGGGATTATCAGACAGCCTGATCTGAGCGGGGGTCTCCAGCAGGAGGATGGCGCAGAGCGCAGCGCGGAGGCGCCATGAGAAGCTGAGCTGACTTGGATCCACTCGGAGGAGAGCAGGAGGAGCACAAGGACATGTTCTCGGAGCTGAGCGGCTTCAACCTGACCTCTAACCTCAGCGAGCCTTCCTCCGCTCCGGGTCAGGAAGGGGACGAGGAATGGAGAGACGCGCCGCTGGAGCGGCTGTCGCGTGGAGGTCACGTGGTGGTGTCGGTGTGCCTCGGCTCCATCATGGTGTTCGGCTTCCTCAACAACCTGCTGGTGCTGGTGCTGTTCTGCCGCTTCAAGAGCCTGCGGACGCCCGTCAACATGATGCTGCTCAACATCAGCGTCAGCGACATGCTGGTGTGCGCGTGCGGCACCACCCTCAGCTTCGCCTCCAGCCTGCAGCGCCGCTGGCTGTACGGCCGCCGTGGCTGCATGTGGTACGGCTTCGTCAACTCGTGCTTCGGTAAGTGTCTGTACGCCTGGAGCCTCAGAGCCCGAGAGGCTCTGTCAGGTTACCGGTCTGAGCTGACCAATCACTGGCTTCATTTAAGAGCAACTTAAAAAAAGTTTTTCTGTTGAAACAAACAGTTAAACTTAATTTTAAACTTTATTTATAAACAGCAAAAGTGAAAAGATTATGTCAACGTTTCTGCGCTTTATTTTGAAAAATCTCCATCCAGACTCAGTGCAGCTTTCAGAGGTTTAAGAAGCGGTCCTCTATTTTTTCATGCTGCCGATTTTATTCAGTGTTTACTTACTTTACAGCTTTATTCATTCCATATTTTCTGTGGATCCAGCTGCACTTTATTCGTTTTACATTTGAGCAGTGCACAGGTTTGATCCTGATGTTTTCTTCTCCCACCTGTTGAGTTCTCAGGGGTCACGTGGGCCATGTTTCGTGAAGTGGGTGGAGATGCAGATAAAGTGCAGCTGCCTGCTGCAGATAACAAACCTCTGCCCGAACACGGGACCTCAGGGGACCCACACATGAGCTCTGGTAATGTGATCAGATTCAGCTCTGGGTGGTTTTATTAAATGTAGCACACAACAGAAAATAATCAGACCACAGGAAGTGGACTGTTACCTGCTCTGTTCTCACCTGGGCTCAGTTTGAGCTACATGGAGCTGCAGCTTCAAGACTTGTAGGCTCAGTTTCACAGACATGAATTAAGGCCAGTCTGGCTGGTTAGTAGCTGGGTATCATTACTGATTTCTAGAATCGATTCGATTCCGATTCACAAGGTCCCGAATCGATTCGATCCACGATTCAATTCGATTCGATTTAAATCTGAGAAATTTTGCCTCAGACAGTCAGAAATATTATAATTCAGATCAGTACATTTACATATTTTTGTATCTATAAAAAGGAAACTGACACTCGCAAGACTTTATCAAAAGTGTGAGCATCACAGTAGATGCCTTTGTGTCAAAGTAGCTGAAGATAAAACACAGAAAAACATGAAGGTGATTTTCCCGGCCTGGGATTTTATAAAAATATTCTGCAGTACATCAAAAACAAAAGAAAACCATTAATCAACATATGAACATTACCTCTGAAGTTACAGCGGTTTTATTACAGACACAGCTAAGCGTTTTGCATTTTGTATAATTTTAAAAAGTTTACATTTGTTCAGAAGCCTATTGAACAGCAGAAATGAGTCTTTCTTTTCAGAAGTAAGTAAAAGGGAAAAAAAATAGCGGCCGACAGCGCTGTAAACAACAGTAGACTTGTGCATAACAAGCAAGCGAATAATGCAGAAAACAGATTTTTAGACGGGAAACTGTTCTTGAAATATACAGAGAAAGCGAGAGAGAGCGAGAGAGAGCTGTGAATGAAGTGTGATTTTTATCATGGTGCAAGCAAAACAGCAAAAGTCAGAGGGAATTCATGACAATGTTTTTGTGAAGTGTAGTTTGGATCTTCTTTTGCTGCTGGTTCGGTCAATAATGTTTGGAGAGAGATAAAACTAACAGCTTTAGAATCAGTGTAAAAAGGGCGTAAACACAAAGCGCGGACCCGCCGAAACATCAGAATCAGCGAGCAGTCGGCTTTCAGCCCCAACCATGTCCGTGCTGTCGGGTGAGAAAGGCGACATCTCACTGATTCTGATCCGTCGGCGGGTCCGAGCTTTGTGTTTACATCTTTGTGCAGAATCTGTGTACCTGTTTTAGCTGTTTGGTGGTTCTTGAAATTTTGTGAGGTTTAACCTGAGATTCTGGCGTTTCGGGCATTTTAAAAAAAATCGATTCAGGATTTTAATGAATCGATATCATCTTATCCAAGCCAGAATCGATTTTAATCAATAAATCGATTATCAAAACCCACCCCTATTAGTAACCTTGGTTGTTGTTAACAAGTACAACAAATTTAGATTGGCATCTAAACCACGCCCATCAGAAAAAAAAAGAAATAGTTAAAAACAGTACACAGACAATAACAACAATAATAAATACACACCTGAGGGAATGATTGTGCAGAGCGCAATGACAGTCCTGAAAGTTGTTATCAGTGCAATTCGGGAGGGGGGGGGGGGTCAGTTTTGCAACTCAATCCAATTCATTTTTTTTTATATGGCACCAAATCACAACAGCAGCCACTTTTTCTTTTAAATAAATTATTAATTACTGATAAACTGTTGAGATATTAAAGACTTCTTGGGTATAGTGAGAAAAAGATTATGATTATTTCCAACTTTTCTTTTGATAAAGCTCCAATTTACCGGTCGCCATGGTGACATCCCCTCTAAAGAGCCTGGACAATATAGCAGCTGGAGGCTCAATTTATACTTCCAGTAGATCAATATAGTTTCAAATGATGCTGAGGGTTACAGTAAAAAAAAAAAAGTGACAGGTTGTCTACCAAACAGCAGATCAGGTGCATAAAGTCAAGTAAGGACATAAAACGTGGATGGAGAGGACCCTAACCTACAAGCAGCCACAGAAAAGCTTCATTCAGACAGATATGAAGAAAAACATTTCAAAACAGATCCTGATCCACCCACCCAGCTTCTTAGGCTTTCGTGCATAATGTGATGTCAACAGTATAACAGGCAGAGGTCACGTCCAAAATCAACAGACCAGAACATTCTCATGCATCGCAGCACACTCTACGAAAACATGTTGCAGTGGAATGAGCTCTTCAACAGCTGGATTGAAAACTATCCAGAATGCTGTATTTGTCCAGAACAGCTGTAATCTGCTCAGTCTGAACGTTTTCCAAAATCTTAGAAGTAAACAGTAATTTAGAGAAGAGTATGTAGCTGCTAAGAAAAGAAGGGTAAGCTTATTTTTTAAGTGGGTGGATAAGAACATTCTTAAAATAAACAGGAACTTCACCAAAGACCAGTGACGTGTTGATTTTAGTGACCACAGTGGCTGTTAGGCTGAAAGACATTTTTGAACAAGTATGCTGGTATAATGCTAAGAGAGCAAGAGCCTACTTTCACTGAGACAACTAATTTTACCAGCTCAGGTAAAGGAGGTAAAAAATAACAGGCTGACCTGGGGTAGGAACAGGCACCAAACAGGAAGATGCCAAATATTATGTCTCACATTACAGATTTTTACTACAAAGAAAGAAAGAAAAATAAATATAAAATTTTAGGACTGTTTTTTTTTTAACATTGACCATTGTTCACTGTAAATAGTCTCAGCAGAAGTAAGGCAAATCTATTCAAATTACAATTTTTGATGCTAAACATGATTTAGTTACTGCACAGAGCTCAAATGGAGTCAGTACTGAAGATGTGAAAGCTGAAGTAGTGGTGACCCCTCCACACTATCATGATTTGCACTTACCTGCCCCTCTAGACTGAGCGGCAGGTAAGTGGACTTCCAGGGTAATTCCTTTATTTATGTTGCCTTTAAATTTCTGTCAAGAGTCGGTCATTTCCAGTTCCAAGGCAACGTACCAATCTGCTTACTGCTGAAGATCACAGTTTTTATGCAGTATATGTTTTTGAAATGCTGCTCTCTGTGGAATTATCATTCTTATTCTTTGTTTTTACTAAGGTTACTGTAGCCCTGTAGTTATTCTGTTTATTAATCTGCTCATGGCTGCTGGATTAAACTTGAGCTGGAGTCCAGTCATTTTTCTGCATGTTAACGGCTGTATTTTCTTTATTTCCAAACTGTAGATGAGTCCTTTTTTTAAGTTAACCTGATCACTTCCTGTCTTTGTTCTTAGGCATCGTCTCCCTGATCTCTTTGTCCATCCTGTCCTACGACCGCTACAGCACTCTGATGGTGTACAACAAGCGGTCGGCGGACTACAGAAAACCCCTGCTGGCAGTGGGGGGGTCGTGGCTGTATTCGGTGATATGGACAGTGCCCCCCTTATTGGGCTGGAGTAGTTATGGCCTGGAGGGGGCGGGGACGAGCTGCTCTGTGTCGTGGACTGAGGAGTCACCTCGCTCACATTCATACATTATCTGTCTGTTTGTGTTCTGCCTTGGGCTCCCCGTCCTGATCATGGTGTATTGCTACAGCCGCCTGCTCTATGCTGTCAAACAGGTGGTTCACATTCACAGATGCTGAACATCAGGCAACTTAATTTATAATTTATATTTTCAATAAAATAACGTCAACTAAAAGAGTTTTTGGTAGACATGTGTATATATTATATATTTTATATATGTTACATATATTTTTTTCCTTTAATTAAATTTGCATATTTATTTACATTATTCAGTTTATTAATTTATAATTTGCTATTTTAGGTATTTACACTTTTAAAGATATTTTTACTACCTAAATATTACAATATTTGTGCTTTGTTGCTTCTGACAGGGGTTTTTCTGTCTTTATCTTTTATTATTTCTGTATACTTGTTTATGTTCTATTTTCCTATCATGAGATTTTGATGGGACAATTTTGAAAATGTTTTAATGATAAAGTCCCTTCGTCTTGTCTGTCAGGTGGGTCGTATCAGGCGGACAGCAGCTCGTCGGCGAGAGTTTCACATTCTGTTCATGGTCATCACCACGGTGGTGTGTTACCTGATCTGCTGGATGCCATACGGCATTGTTGCCATGATGGCCACCTTTGGCCGGCCAGGCCTCATCAGCCCCGTTGCCAGCGTCATCCCTTCAATCCTTGCCAAGACCAGCACAGTCATCAACCCTGTGATCTACATCCTCATGAACAAACAGGTGAGTGCTGGACTGAGCTGTTATCAGGTAGCAACAGGGCTTAAAATACGATTTGTCAGTACCGTAGGTAGGAGCACTGACACACTGATGAGGAAGAAAATAAAAATGCTAATAAATTAAAAAATGCACCAAAAAAGTAAAATGAATAAATAATATTTTCTAATTTTTAATGTAGATTTTGTGATTTTTTTTCAACTTTCATTATATACATATTAAAAAAATACATAGGAAAAACTAAATATATATATATAAATATAATGAGTAAATGAACATTTTTATGTTCATGTTTTTTTTTTTCTTTTTGAATATTTAATTTAAGTGAGACAGAGAAGTGTGGCAGGATTGTTTTTTAATTTAATCTCAGTGCAAACTACATCAGTATGATGCCTACACACAGACAGAAACACACATGATGTCATTAACAAAGTACATCGCAATGTTTTCTTTTTTTTTCAAAATCGTATATTTATTGAAAACTGTATTTAAAAAATGAACTTTAAATAGCAAATAAATATGCCATACTTTGAACAACCTAGCTCTCTAAAGCAGGGGTGTCAAACTCCAGTCCTGGAGGGCCGGTGTCCTGAAACTTTTACATGTGTCTCTGCTGCAACACACCTGAATAAAATTAGTAGGTCTTTAGCCAGACTATAGAACTTGGCTGCATGCTGAAGTGGCAACCCCTAACTCTACTCTACTCAACTTTACTGAATCAAATGGCTGAATTGCCACCTCAGCATGCAGTCAAGTTCTATAGAATCTTGCTAATGACCTACTATTTGTATTCAGGTGTGTTGCAGGTGGGACACCTGGAAAAATTTCCTCGAAGACTGGAGTTTGACATCCCTGCTCTAAAGGAATAAGAAGGAAAAATAGAAAATAAATTCTTAACATATCTAAAAAACTGAAAAAATAGAAATTATATTGGTTGTAAATATTTTAAATATTTTAATTGAGTCTACATGTACAAAGATATACAGTTACACATTAAAGTTTTAATGGAAGATCAAAAAGTAAGACAATTTAAATAAAAAAAAGATGTTGTTTTTTTTGCTTGTTTTTTAATTAAGAACATCTGTTCAACTCTTTCTTAACATTAGTATCAGCGAATCACATGACAGCAACTCAGTGCATTAAGGCATGTAGACATGGTGAAGACGGCCTGCTGAAATTTAAACTGAGCATTAGAATGAAGGAGAAAGACGTTGTGGGAGCCAGATCCAGATACTGCTGCGACTTTCCCACATAATCATCTCTAGAGTTTACAGAGAGTAGTCTTTAAAAAAGATTTTAAAAATCCAGTGAGTGGCAGTTCTCTGGGAGAAAATCCCTTGTTGATGCCAGAGTTCAGAGGAGAATGTCCAGACTGCTTAGAGCAATTAGAAAGGAAACAGGAGCTCAAATTAACGCTTGTTACTACTAAGGTATGCAGAAGAGCATCTCTGAATGCATTCAGCCATGTCTCAGCGGTTAAGGCTGGTGATGGTGCTACAAGTTCTTTTAGAAAACAAATTAAATTAAATTACACTGATAAGCAAAGAAACATTTGGTTTATTTTGTGAATAGCATGTTTGCTCGGTAAGAGACTATCTGCCTGCAGATAACATCAACATCTGTCTGTTAATGAAGCAGGTATTATCATACAGAGCGAGTTTGGACTGGAGAGCTCACAAACTCCCATTTACATCGTAAAAAATATACTTTCATGGCATATCATTTGGCTAATCAACAAACTTCAGATGAGGTTATTGGGTAAGTGAGGATGGAGCTTAAGACAGAATAGCTGCCAACACTGGCATTGACATATAGTATATTAAAACCATTAACAAAAACAAAAACAAATCTCTTTGTCAGTTCTACCGCTGCTTCCTGATCCTGTTCCACTGTAAACACCCACTGACGGAGGATGTACAGTCCTCCATGCCCTCCAAGACCACCATGGTCCAGCTGAACCGGCGCGTGTTGGATGGCAGCCCCGCCGGGCCATCTGGTACCAAACCCATTGTGCAGGACGTGGAAGGAATCAGCGCTGCAGAATCTGACAAAACCGACCCCGTAGAGCTGCCGTTGCCACCCCTGCCACTGCCTGAAATCTCCTCCTCCTGACAGCCCTAAGCACTGACTGTTCACTGAAAAGTGGGGCCAGCAAATGTCTGTTGTTTGAACCCTTCAACCACCAACATCTCAGCTCATACTCACACCCATACTCATCACTTCTCAGTTTGTATGTGTTTCATTTTTTTGGGAAACGATGAGGTCATACCCTAGATGCCAACCGTATTCAGCTGCTGTAATTATTGATTTAATAATGTGAGCTAAACTAATCTAACAGAAGAGTTAAATCCTGTTTTCGGATTCAACCGTTGAAATCAGAGGCTCGGTAGAAATCAGATTTTGCTTGTTTGCAGCCCTCAGACTTTAATGACTAATTTGTGGGTATTTTTCTATGGTCTGTGTCCTGTTGGTGTGTTGGGAATAAAGTGCTGTGCTCTGCTTTGACTCTCTGACTTTAATTTTAGCAGGCTCAATATGAGCGATGATTAGAAGTTCTTTTTTTTTCTTTTTTTTTCTAAATGATTAGTAGTTCTGATGCATGCATGTCCTTTGATTTATTTATTTTTTGGAAAACTACACAATTTCACTGTCCATAAAGAAGGCCACTAATACAAGATACAGTGGGGCAAAAAAGTATTTAGTCAGTCACCGATTGTGCAAGTTCCCCCACCTAAAATGATGACAGAGGTCAGTAATTTGCACCAGAGGTACACTTCAACTGTGAGAGACAGAATGTGAAAAA